ACTGTCAAATTTCGGATCCCTGTTGTTTTTCTATTTGGTTTCTGTACTCCCCCCCCCCCCCCCCAAGTTGCGGGACTGCCTGTGCGGTGACGCCTTTGGACTTATGGGCAGAAAGTAACGTTTCGGAGGCAGATACGGCTTCCATGTTCGGGGAGATTAATCCGCTGTCGCCTGGGTCTCACCGTTTGGAGAGAACGGGTGATAACGAACTGAAAGGTAGACGACGTGGATTCGGAATTCGTCAGACGAAGCCGAGGGTTTTGTTATTCGTGCTGTCTAAAGTTCGAGAATGTCCGCGTGTGTTTCTCTTGTAATGCCGGACGCAGGGAGATATGGACCACTCGGGTAAAAGCACCAGATCAGTGGCCGTTTCTGTCAGAATTGTTGAGGTAAATGTGAACTGATACATTTTCCTTGTCCATAACCTTGCGGCACGCGAGTCGAGGGTGGATGTGGCACCAGGACTGGGCTGTCATCCGAGAGGAACCCATTTCGAATCTCGTCAGCGATCCTGAGTTCGTTTCTCTCTCTCTGTCCACGTGAAGGCGGCCACTCCGAATTTCCGTTCTCCTCACACCGGGCAACCTAGGTTGAAGCACATGTAGGAGTGGGTGGGAGGATAATATTAAAATGGATCGTAACAGAAGCAGCGTGCGACGGTGTGAACGGAATCGTGTGACTGAGGAAAAAGGTCCGGTGGTCGCTGGCATCCGTTGGACTAGTCAGAGTATAAGAGCGGTAGGATCTGAGGTTTTCGCCGTCGAGGGTCCTTGCTGCCTCCATCATCAGGGCGATGAGTGGTCGGAGAGTCCGCGGCGCTAGAACGCAGAAGACAGCCATCTTCAGGGTCTCAGATGTAAAAATTTGTTGCGCCGAATGGCGGTCGGCGTTAAAACGCTAATTGATTGCTTTGTGTGGTGAAATCGTGACTCATCGCACAAACATTTTCGCCTCGCGTTTGGCGTTCGGCCTCAGAGTAAAATATCCTCCCGTTTTGTTTTGTTTTGTTTTTGTGAACATCGGTAATTTTTAAAGAGCCTTTTTTTGCCAGGAAATGCAAAAAGACGGAACGAAGGCCAATGTATTTTTTTTTCCTAATTTTTGTTGAGCAAACTCTCGCTTTCGGAACAGTCGTTTCATCTAGAAACCTAGAAGATGAAAATACATTTATCAGTGCAGTGGTGATAAGGAATGTTCAGCTGATCACGCAGACGGAAACGGGGAAGTTCGAACTTTTGAGACATTCCGCGAGTTGGTCGCTGCTCCAAGCGTCGCCGAGCAGGGAGAGAGAGAGAGAGACGCCAATTTCTATTTATAGCGACGAAGCTGCTGCTCCGTGCGTCACTGCTGCACCCGTCTCTGACTTTCTGGGACGAACCGTGTCCAGTTATCCGCGGTCGCTGCGTGTCCCTCGCGCCTAGCTAAGTACCACGCGTTGCGGGTGTATGGAGGAGCGAAGGCCCAGCTCCACGCATTGTTCTTCGCACCCCGACGGCTGTAGTCCCATTCGATCGATCGCCCACTCTGTACTCGAGCGGTTGGTACGAGACAGCGAAACTCCTAACCTTTAGAAAGATCTGTGTTGGCAGCACTGTTCACAGGCGTTCTTTACGTGTCGGTACTTACGAACGTCGCACTGTCTCCATCTTCTGGGTTCTTATCTCTCTCCTGTCCTGGTATGAAAACAGTAAAAGACGACACATTTATTTTATTAAGACGTGATAAATGATCGATGTCAGGAGGGAAATTGATCGAGTCACCAGCGTGGTGTACATTGCCACGGTGATAAGATAGTGTAATTGCGTCATATTGTGAATATTCTAACAATTATTTATTTTAAACCGTCTTATCACAATATTTAAAATTTCTTATAATTATCGGAACAATCACTCCTACATCTAAGGTATGTTTTATTTTATATTATTTTTATTTATATTTTACTGCTACTTTCTAACTATAATTTATATATTTTGCATTTTATTCTCTAAAATTCTTTCAAATTCTTTAGTGTTTCTTTCAATCTTCTACTTACAGACCGATATGTACATCTGATAAAATTTAAGAAAAGACAACACCTCGCCAAAAATTGAAAAAACAAATGGCATGAAACATCACCAAATGGAATCATATTTGAGTTTTAAGTTCGTAATTTATAACTTGTGTTGGGCAAGGCCGTGGTCTAGGCATCACGGAGTTTTCCTCCGGTGGCTTCCCCGGTTTCTCCGTGGCATCCCAACACTTACTCTATTCACACACAGAAGAAGGCAATGGCAAACCACTTCTGATCATCTCTGCCAAGAATGTATATATGTATGAGCAGGTCCTTGACAACCTGAAGAGGTTGGAAGGATCCTGTTCATGATATATGGACCTGTCGTCAGACAGAACACTACAAATAAAAAATAACAGCGTGGTGTGCCGACCCTGAAAAGTCAGTGAAAGTTCTGGTCCGACAGGCAGAAGGAGCCGCGTCTTCTGCTGTTTGTTTGTTTGTTTGTTTGTCGAGCGTGTGGACTCCGGCTTGAAGCCAGGGCTGGCCCCGCGTGTGCGAATCGACGAATATCGATCGATCGATCGATTCTTTTCGTCCCCAAGCGAAGGATCCAGAACGCGTCATTGTAATTCACAGTATCACCGCATTTCTGTGTACACGTATTTATAATGGCTGAGAAGTTTTTGGTTTACGTAAATTCTTCTGTGGAGTAGAACGCGTGAGATCGGAGATACTTTTTTTTTTGCTAGCTTAAATTTCTTTTGTCAGAGAAGATTGTTGAATAGCCTAATTCAAATACAGTAAACTCCTCTCTGATGTTTGCTGACGTCAGAATTTGGCACACGAAGATTATGTCTGCGGCTTCTGGGTTTGAAACTGTTTGCAAATGATTACGATGACGGCAAGAATTTGCTGGCTAGTGGGAGTACATTGAACTTCGTCAGGCTCTCCATTTAATCCTCTTTTGGATGTGGAATGATTTCTTATCCCGTGACATGAAAGCGACGAAGACTGACTTTGAAGTTCCTGTTTTCGTGAGTGAGTCCTCGGTCGTGTTGTCCGCAGACGCTTCCGCCTTCTTCAGATTCAAATGCAGCCAACGGATTCTTTGATGACGTCACGGGGCAGTCGTTTGGGGGGGCGCTCACGAGGTTTCAGAGGTCCTTGCTGTGCCTCCATCATCAGGGCGATTGCCCCACCCTTCTAGCAGACTACTCAGAAGACAGCCATCTTAAAATTACCAGATGATTTAAAAGTCGACCCGTCAGACTTCGTCACAATTACGACCCCCTATAATTTTTTTCAAAATTGAAAAATTTATCTTGTAACACTTTGTTTCCTCTTTATCATTATTTTAATATTGCCCCTCGCGTTGTCATTATCCACTAATCGGCTGAACTAATTGTAGAACCACGTGTTTTAGACTGGTTTTGTATCACAAATTGTTTCGTGGTTATTGTTAACGGGTGTTCAATAATTCTGTGAGCTGACTATTTTTTGTTCTGATGTTGATAATGAGCAGAGGAAGTGTGTCATAGTTTCGGGAAATTACTTTTTCTAAATTGTCTTTGAGTGAAAAATCGTGGCCGCCCTCTTCCGAACTTACAAATAGTTAAAACATCGTCGAGGAAGTTTTGGTTTTGTCGTGATGTAAATGTACTTTTCATTTGTTTATATTGTTATGATTTTTCCCCTCCGTAAGCAGCACTGCCACTGATCAGACTCACGAGCCGCCACTGAGTGAGTCTAATTCGAGGTTTAAAATTAGTATTCAGTCGTTGGGGCAGTTGGACTTCCTTAGTCGCCGAGATAGAATTTTACGGTCCATCAAGAAGCGAGAGTCGGTTCAAGTTAAAACTGTTCGTGAGTCGCTTTGATCAAGTGGTTTTTGGAACGAGTTTAGTTGCATCAACGTAGATAGTGAATTGCGAAGAGGATTAAGAGTGATGCGTGACTGTTATTTGTAATCGATGGGGGGGGGGGGCGTAGGTTACCCGCGTCGTGTTCGTTATGCGGTGCCATTTTGTTCCCTTCCCTTCGGGTGTCCGGGTGGCTCTCTCTCGTCTTTACACATTTTCCAAATCCCCGAGATCGACGTGGGTTTGGAAAAATTTCAAAGCGTCCATTACGTTTAGTCGCATTCTGGAATGATTTTCGCTTGCAGTCGTGTTCATGTTCGTGCGCGTTTACGCTTTGGCAATCGCCAATTCAGTGTTTGGTTCCGCAAGTGGCTTCGGCCTCAGAGGTTTAATAGCCATTTGATTCAATGCGTATCAGGAGCAAAGACCGCTGTGCTTTCCTGTCCGCTCCTTAGGGCATGTAACGCAAGGTAAAAGTGAGTTTGTTTCGCCACGACGAATGTGGTTCGAGGGTGGGGGAAGTGTGTAGTACTGACCTGCTTTTTTGATTCCTCAAGGACGAAACTCACGTGCCCTTTCTGCTCCGTAATGATTGCTGCTATGGCCACAGTTTGGGAACAAGAGACGTGCAGACATTCGCGTAATATTCTCGTAGAAATGTCGAAGGCCATGAAAAATAGGTAATCTGGTCCCTGCCTGGGTTTGAACCGGACCTTCTGAATACAACACTGACCCATTAAGCAGGTAGTGAGTGGAAGGAAACCAATACATATCCACTAGATTATAACAGGAAAGGAGGTCTTGGAAAAGGTTACAAACCGCTGAGCTCCCCAGTTTGTGTTTGACGGGGTAGGTTATAAGTAACATTACAGAATTTACATGCAGCAGGCACCTCGTTCGAATTTAACCTAACATTTCTGTGTCGGTCCCTCAGATGACTGGTCGAGTGAAAATGGGGCAGCAGGGAAATGTTACTGATAGGGGAGGACCGAAGGACTGTCTCTTAGTCAACATACAACTAAGTAGTTTACGCGACATCACAGAGTAGTGCAAGAATTATCCTTGATATTTCACCCTTGTGGGGTCCAGATGTTCACTCCATTTCTCATCTGGTGAAAAACCACAGAAAAGGTGTTTTTGTGTTTCAGGTGAGGATGGTAGGCTGGTTGTTCAGAGCACATGGGGAACTGTGCGCATCCCACCCCTGGGAGGTGATAGTAGCCACCCTCACCCTTACAGTGTGCATGCTGACGGTAGACCAGCGACCCCTGGGGCTTTCGCCAGACCCACACATGGGCTGTGGGTGGAGACACGACTGCGTCGGGCTGGAGGTATGAAATATTTATCGGTTTTAGATGGCCGTCTTCTGGGTTGCAATTGTCGGTAAACTTCGAGCAGACTGCACAGTGGTACAACCCAGAAGACTGCCATCTTTGCACTCACTGCCATGAAAACATCGGATCCTGCTTTACGCTGGTTGTGCGTTCCGTGTTCAAAGTCTTTGGCTCTGTAGAAGTTTTCCAAACCAAAGTTATTTATGTGGTCCACTTCTGACCTCTGAAGCTGTTCTTATTCTTTGGTACATGCAATGCTGGATTTTGAAGCCATCTTTACATCTGTCGTTAACGATCAGCGAAAAGTGATGAGGATGAAATTTGGATTAGGACTCTGAATGACCAGAATGAAGTTCAGTTTCTCACAAGACAAGACAAAAGGTGGAAGTGCTGGAGAGCAGTGTAAAATATTGAGTAGCTCGCCATTTTGTATGCATAACTGTATTTATATTGCTGTTCACAGTGTGTGTGTGTGTGTGTGTAACTTTTGGTAATATATATTAACAGATTATTGAAAAATGTAGTAGATAAACAACACTTCAAGAAGTTATTTGAAAAGTACATATGTAACAGGTGACAAGGAAACATGACAAATATTGAATTAGTACTGGCTGACGACGTGTGTACACACGGTTGAATAAGCACGTTGTAGCGATTACCACACATTGATGACTGATGTCAAATGAGTAGAGAATCATTTGTATTCAAAATTCTGGTTCAGAAACGCTCCTTACCACTGGCTGGATTTACGAATCGCTCGTCTTTCTATCCACAGGATTATAATGCTGCTGACGTGATTGTTATGACGCTGATCCGATGTGTGGCCATCCTGTACAGTTACTATCAGTTCTGCCATCTTCAGAAACTTGGTTCGAAGTATATCCTTGGTAAGTCGACATGCATTGTTACGTTCAGGTGTAACTGAATATAGAAAGAGTACATCATGTCATCCGTGTCTCTTCAAACTTTTGTACTCCATGGTGGAGGATGTTCCTCGAGAAAATGGTCATTCAGCCGATCAAAACGTTGCCTGCCGTTATTGAACCCGTTGTTCCTCATTGCGTTCGCAAAGAGAAAACAAAACGAAAAGTCCGACCCTGAATTCGACCCGCGCTTTTACTCTTGTCTCTCCGAGTTCCGTTGTAGTGTTCTAATGCCTGCTACTAGGTCTACCAACTCGTCACTTACCTTCAGGTATTCCAGCCAAAATTTGATGTGCACTTTTCATTCCGCCCATTTGTGGATATATGTTCTGTTTATTAATCACAGAAACAATATAAAGCGCACAAAGAATTACGAAGCTTCTCTGTACATAGTGTTCTGTCCTTGTTGCTTGCTTTCTCCTTGGTCCAGTGACACCCCGAAACTGTTCCCTCTGAGTGAGAGTGTGAAGCAGCAGATTAACATTTCATTTGTGATGAGAATGTTGTAAATACTGTATGTGAACACCACAATGGTCTGATGATCAGGCCTCTTATTAGATGCTTGAGCCAGGTAACCTCTGCGATCGTTACGCCATCATTGAGTAACCTACGGGCAAACTCGAGGCTTTGCTTCCTGTGACCACAACCGAGAATGTCCGTGGGACTTTTGTTTGGTTAGAAAGTTATGGATTTTGTGGCACAAGGCTCTTCATGAAATTCGTTTCAGTTATGTCTTAGCGCTATGGAAAAGTTGCCCGTGGTACACGGACTTTGAACTTGCCTGTTACAAGTAACTCACTTTTCTGTAGGACTCTTGATATTTTCGATGAACATAATCGTAAATCGTGTTTACAGAATTGGCTGTTTATAAAATGGAACTGCATATTTACCATATTGAAAAATGTTTCATTTGGAAGTTGTAGAACTTAAAATGAGGTATATTTTTTGACACGTGCCAGTGCCTTTTGTAGAACGAGCTTTTGGGGAAATTTGTGGGTTCAATTTTAGTTTTATGTGAAGTGGGAGTTAAGCTGGGCTGAAATTGATTTGACCCGACAACTTTTAATGGAGACCCCTGATATAAATCATCAAAATACGTCGCCACTGGTGAGGTGGGGGCGCTTATGAGGCCATGGCAGGACTGCGATGCCAATGATGGCTGGCAGAGGAGATTTTGTTTTCCAGCGTTTTCAGTGGAAGGCAAACATAAAAGTCCTCACTGGATCTTTGGCATGGTCAGTCCATGTAACTGTGTACTAAGACCTGAAGCTAGCAGCAGTTACTTTGACAGGAAGTTAGGATGTTCAGAGCTGCACTTTCACTCCATTGCTAGGAGAAAGTGGTGTGATGTGCTGGAATGTGGAACTCGGGAGGCACTGACCTTGGTGTCCCCACTTCAGAACAGCCGTAACCACTGACAATGGGCACTTCAGGTGAAGATCATAATGGACTTGACTGTGATGCGAAAGTAGGTACTTGGAAGACAAATATGGAATGTGTGGCTGAGTGGTTGGCACTCCTGCTTCGTAGTTGGGAGGTACTTTGTTCACTCTTGGTCTGCAGACTGGATATCCTGGCAGGTTTTTCTGGTATTCCTCAGTCAATTTAAGCAAATGCCAGTATTTTCCCTTTATCTTTGGTCATGACTACTTTCTTTTGTATACTTTACAATTTACCAGTTGTCCAATTACTTGATGCTGTGTAGTCAGCTCCAGTAGATAAGGAACAAATGATAATCGGAGGATATTACTAAAATGTATCTTACGGATGTTAGTGGGGAAGATGTGAAGTGGATTGAACTGGCTCAAGATAGGATCCAATAGTGACCTGTGATGTTAGTCAGTCATTCATTTATTCATTCGTGTGGTTAGTGTGAATGGTCAGCTAGTTTGGTTACTTGAGTGGTTAAGGCAGTCAGCTGTTTTAATGTTTTGGTTTTACTGAATCGTTCGGTGCAGCGAAGGTGGCAGAAGTCTGCTGAAGCGTGCGGCGTTGTGTGAATATTTAATCGATTAAATATAACTGATCAGATAGTTTGTTATGTCCGAGTTGTATGACACTTGTTAGAATAGTGATTGAAATAAATTTCCGTTCACGTTATTTCAGTTTGGTGTTGATTATTCCGTCATTTCTGTTAATTGCATTTTCAGTCGGTCGTCTTCTGCAGTTATTTGTGTTAACTCAGACCTTGTATCATCTAGAATTGAAATTATGGTTCCACTTCTGCCTGGTAACGCTTCTCTTTGCTTCACAGATGCGTTTTAGTCCTTCAGCCATCCTCAGTGCACGTGTTTCTCACTGCAGTACCTTTGGGTTCCATGAAAATGGAATATATTGACAAGCTGAGCAAGTGTAAAGTTGTCAAGAAACATGCTGTACTTTTGAGTTAGCTTGGTAACAGTCTAGACTTCCATTCAGTAGGCTTTCGGTTTGAGTTGCGACAGGGTTCTCGGCTATTCTGTTTTCTTCAGTATCTCTGGAACATCCTGGGCTAGTCCTTGCAATTCATTACATTCGTGATGTCGTACTGCGTCATTTGATACTATATAATGCGTGCAATAGATGGACCTATTAGTAGAGGATGCAAGTGAATCTTATGACAAAGAAAAGTGTGCGCCATTCTTCAGATTGCGCATTGTTTATGGATTGGCTTCGTGGCCAACTTTCGCCTTGAATTGAAAGTACCAGCTGCTTTTTGCTGTGAACAGCTTGTATTGTTATGGTGATTAAACTACGCATGCTGACGCACGGTGAATACAAATTCTTGCTCTGGGAGGCCAGATTGTAGGGAGGGAGCCGTATATATTGATTCTTGGATAGATGTGTGGCGGACACGTGTAAATGAGGCATTTTAATGGTGGGATTGTGTGTGTACGCGTGTGGCAGTGAACTGGATCTGTGGCAAACTGTAACTGTAAGGTAGTCGTTTTTCAGTGTGTGGTGGTCCGTATGAGTAGACCTTATGGAACATTCTGTCCTAGAAAAAATGGAACTTGTGATTGATTCTTGGGTTATTTAGATGTGAAGATGGCTTTCTTAGGCTGTTGCATCGTGCAGGTATTTGCCGCTGATTCTCAACAGGGGTAGAGTTTTTTGTCTTCATCACTTCATCTAGCCTGGCTTTGAGCCTCACCCCTTGAGCCTCTTATGTGATGGGTTCTGGGGGTTCTTTATCAGGGGGTGAAGTTGTCTAGTGCCAGGGTTAAGAATGTTGCAGCTGCACCTCAAGTTTCCCACATGTCTTCATGTTGTGGTGCTTAATTAAGCTCCAGGGACTCTACAGAACAACAACTTAATTACCCTTTATTCTGTGTAAAACGAGGTATCTTGAAGGAAGAACATACGTTGCATGTACGTGAAAACAGAGCGCTCAGGCGTGTCTGTACCTGGAGAGAGATGCAGTCAGCGAGTGATTTGAGGTGTCACACGGTGAGGAATGTTGTGATTTATTCAGGGCACTTTGTATTTCTACGACAGTTGGCTCTAGAAGGCTGTCATGTGGCGCGCACAAGGAATACTTAAAGAGTTTTGGTGGGGAAACTCCTTGGAAAATTGCCATTTGGAAGCACAAGGAGGAAATGGGTCTGGTCGGAAGTAAGGATGGGGAGTGTGTCCAGTGGCATGCATTGGTATTAGCAGTGTTGAGGTTCTGTTGTCACATAGTTAAAGAATTGTAAATAAAGTTTATTTAGTTTAATTTCTTAATGTTACTGAAGCAAAATTAACTATTTTAATTAACTTAAATTCAGAACAGACCAAATGACCTTTTCTGTGAAACCTGAAGAGAATGATTTAATTAAATTGATCAGTTCTTCTGTTTGGGTCATGTGTCTGGACAATAACAGGAAATTCCAGGAGGAGGATTACAGCCTCTGCGATCAGTAGCTGGAGTTGTGTGCTGTTGGAGAGTGATTAGAGATTAATATTATTACAGATAAAATTTTAAACTGCGTGAATACATGGTGGGAGGAAATTATTTTCCAAAGAGAGTTTTTAGGTGTGGTCTGCAGGACTTTGCAGACCAACAGAAGGTTGGATTGACCAGAGGACAGTTTGCTTGGTACTGAATGTACAGTTTCTAAGGTGCTGTGTGATCGATACATAACAGTGATATGTAACACACCAAATAGAATCTCGTAAAATCTTATCTTCAAGGACGGTGTACGGATTCGGATCGTCTTACAAGCCCGTTCTGTACAGAAGAGGTTTGTTGTTCAGTTAGGTGAGTGGTTGTCGAGGGGAAACAGCTCTGAACCCTCGCACTGATCGCCGTGCGTGTGACCTAGTGAGTGATGGAGTCTGCTGTCATGCTGTTTGTGTAAGTGGGATGGACAGTCCTTGATCTAGTTGGGCAGCACTTTCCATTTGTGCGTTATGTCAGCTGATCCACAGCTGTTAGGTAAGACAGGTTTCACTTTTCTGATGCACTGCTCCCTCCACTTTCTCCACAGCAGTAGTAGCCTTGGTATCCCTTCCAACACACCACAGCACACCTGAGCTGTGTGTCTGTATCTTCATGTAGTGGGCAGTCATTTGGAGGTTTGGTCCCTTCCTGCAGACACTCAGACAGAGTCTGTGAGAACCGTATAGACCCATTGAATTTTATCACAAGTTTCACTTCTCTTGGAGGGGCAGACAGATGAATGGGGGGGGGGGGGGCACCTCAGGGAAAACAGGCGCTCTGCATTCTGAGAAGGAGGTGGGGAGGTAAAATTAAGATGTGTTTTGGCGGGAATTGAGCTCGGACAGTGTCTGATGGCAGACTGCAGTGCTTTTGGTTTCTGGTGCCGGAGACTTAGCTAGTTGTTCGCTTACTGCTGTTTGGTATTTATGAACGATGTTGAACCTTTGGGTTAGCTTTTAGAGGTTGGATGCCCTGATCCGCTTTTTGGTCAGTTCCTTCACTTCTTGTGTCCACTTCCTGCCTCACCCTCCGAATAAGACAGCCTTGCTAAAGTTTGTTACTCTTCTCCTGAGTCCATCAGTCAAAATGGTGAAATAGTTTGCCTCGAAGTGGATGACTACTGAGTCTTTCGTGGTTGTTATGTTCAGTTCTTTGTCATCAGACTTCATTATAAGCATTTTATGTAACATTGTTAAATGATGCACAGATTCGCTTTGATTGTAAGTGAATATAAATAACTGTGACAGATAGGGCAGACATGCGAGTGAGCAATGTCATATTTGGAGTCCAGTGGAGCAAGAAAGATAAAAAGAAAGCATGAAAGGAAGAGAATGAGAGAAAGAAATTAAGCTGAAGAAAAGATGTGAATAGAAAGAAGGAAAGAGGAAGGGACTGAAGAAGGCAAGAAGAGTGCTCAAAAGAGAGAGAGAGAGAAACAAATGAACAGCTTTCCCTGACTGATGTGTGGGAGAGTTGCATCTCATTGCAGCCTGCAACCTGCAGCCTTGAGGAAGTGTGCCACTGTCATTGGTGTTTGAAGATACACAGCAGTTACTCTGGGCCGGCCACTTATAAAATAGGCGCCTCGTAGTGTCTGACATTACAGGAATAATCTTGTCTTCAGGTGATTGGTTGGCTGTCATTACACTCCGACATTTTTCTTTTATTAATTAATTATTGACAGTGGTCAAGGTTGAACCAACAGGATTGAACCCAGAGCCCTTTTTATTATGCTGTCCGTGTGACCACCAGGACACTGCGAGTAATATGTAAAAGTAATAATTATAATAATAATAACAACAAAAAAGAATATCTGCAAGGATAGGGAAAACTAAGAAAGAGGAGGTAGAATATCTGCAAGGATAGGGAAAACTAACAAAGAGGAGGTGGAGCCAGCTCCTGAAATATCTTGCATATTAAATATACGTCAGACAATGTTCAGTTTCCAACATAATTGGGCTGTAATTATTTTAAAAGAGGTATTGACTGAGTCCTTCTACGTCCTTACTAATTCATCATTCATAATCATTCTTCCATTTAGATCTATGCATTTTAGAAAGCATCGTTAAAATGGAGTTACAAAGAACTGCAAGTGGTGTTTCATATCGTCTCTTCAGAAGTGTAGGAACCTACCTACGTAGATGATACTGCATTTTGAAATATGGCCAGTCATTTTAATCATGTTTTCTTGTTACAGGGATTGCAGGCCTGTTCACGGTCTTTTCCAGCTTTGTGTTCAGTTCCAGTGTCATCAACTTTCTGGGTAGCGACGTTTCTGACCTCAAGTGAGTAGCGACAGGGTACTGCAGTTAATTTCATTTATAGATTTAGTTGAATCATTGAATGAAATTACTGGCCATACAATTCGTGCTGAAGGAGACATTTGACGGTTGTAATTTGCGTTCACCACCGCTGTGTGCTGTGGTGATAGGAATGTCACAGGTGCCACGTGAAAGAGTTACGGTCAATCTTATCCTTCAGGTATGACGTGACAGACTGACATACACATATCTGTATGTATGTGAGGCCTGTGAGCGTGACGTGGCTTCGGGCCGTCTTGCCTGTATTCTGAACGAGACGGAATGGATGTGGAAGGAAGCGATCGTGACTTGTATCCGACTGTTTGTCCGGAGGGGCTGAGGAAACTCGTACAGATCCTCAAATTATAATAATTGTTATGCGGGTTGGGAATCGAACCAGGACGTACCAAGTACTAAGCAGAAGTTTTCGCTGCTGCATGTGTGGTGTTCATTAGGATGGCTTTTGACTTCAGTCAGACTGTTTTCCTGACCTTATCACAAAATAGCACAACTATCAAGTATCCCTAGTCATTTCATGTCATATTTCTCATCGAATTCTGCTGAGAGATTTAACTTCATGAGATTTATGAACCTGCTTTCTATGCAATTTCCCTCCATTTGTGCTACATCCCCCACCCATCTCATCCTTGATTTACTCACAGTAACAATATTTAGTTGAAAAAAGAAACACCCAGAAAAATGCTTTATCTGAGGAAGAAGGAAATTAGCAGTCCTTGGCTTAAATCTCGGTCCAGATACCAAATATCCTGACTAATTATTTTTGTGGTTTTATTCAGTCCCTCCAGGCAAATTCTGTAAAAGTAGCCATCCTGTCATTTAACACTGTGTGACCTGAGCTACTGTCATTGTCGTTAAATGAGCAAACAACCGCGGGGACTGCGTGCAGAAACATCGTGACTTGTAAAATGGTGCTGCGTTATTCATGTATATGAAAGACTGAATATGAAATGCCTTGTAATCTTACTTTCTGATTCATTTGTCATGCAATTTCATCTGTGAGTTGATTTTTGCTTTCCTTACCACTTATTCCCATTTTCTGATGCATGACCATCTCTGTGAGCCTGGTGGCTGTGGAGTAAGAGGGAGAACTTGTGCAATATTTTGATGAACGCTGTAGAAAGTGCATGCATGTCACTGTCTAATAGTTGAGGTGTCAGTTGATATCAAATTAGATCTCTGGAGCTTTCACTTCTCTATTGTATTCTGTATTCATTTAGTGTGTAATATTAGAAAGGACTGCGTAGATCTGGGACACAGGATCTGCTTTAAATTGTGCTCCTGTCCTACCGTTGCACGTAAAAAGTTCTGGCATTGTGTGCCAAGGATTTTGGATTTCAATTTGGTCGAAGCTCTTTGCGTGGTTTCCACATCAGTTGAGCAGGTCAGGGCAAGTGTCCGCGTTCCTGATTTGCGTTCAAGGCGGGACGTTACCTATCATGATTGAAGAGCTGTGCATTCTGGGTGGGTGGAGGGGGGAGGTGTCTGGCCCCTTATGATGTTTTTGAGTTCTATAAAATGCAAGGGATTTTTTGATTGCTGAGTAACTGTCAGCTTCTCAAGGACTGTGCTCCATGGAGTGTAGCTTTTTGGTATTGCAGGGATTTCTGTTCAAAAGGAAATGAGGCATTCTAAGTTTGTCC